CCAGCTGCAATCAGAAAGATTTCGAAACGAAGTCCCTCATGATTTTGAAAAGTCTAAGAAATCCCCTTTGATTTTTTTTGGTCCTCTCATTCCTCTTCACTTGGCTTTCGCTCATCATTCTGGGTGGAATTGCGTCTCAACTCAGAGTAAAGAGCAATCATACTCTATATAAAGCGCGAAGGGGTTGTGACGTCACATGGATGCGTGTCTGCAGAACGATGTTTACCTAATTGGTCTTTGAACTACCAAAGTGCATTTGCCCTCCTGGGTGTCAATGTTTTCGTAACGCAAACCACCTACTTCCAATATTTCATACACATTCTTTTGCTGTTAGAACACATTACCTTTCAACAGTAACTATTCTTACCGATTTCTATGTTTGGACAGATACTATTATTTAAACTAAAGCCCATTTAGGTGCTCGCACTTGCGAAACGAAGATTACTGGGAAGATCCTACCCACACAAATTGAGTGGAGAAAGTTGGATGCGTTTCAATATCGGGGTCATTCCCTGCAGTGAAAATGGAATTATTCTTTGAAGATGGTGACATTCACATCAGTAAGATAATCACTCACAAAATGTTTGCGTCAGTAACGGTAAAACGCTTACGAGAGGAGGAAAATTTTGGGCAGGGGTCATTTTGAAAATGGACCGGTTTGAGCATTCGAAACTCAAAGGCAGTGTCCCGGCAGATTTTGCACATCTTTTTACATGTTTTGGGCCCGGGACCCGTAGACCCCGAATTTGAGCTTTGAAACGGGTGAGAAGAGATTTTTCGGAGCGTTTACCCAAGTTCCAAAAGGCAGCTCGGACCAGAATTTCAAAAGTTGGGAGGCCGTGCCACGTAGATTCTGCTGCCTGTAATTTGTGCTTTGGATAGCGTGCACAATGGAGAAGAGAGGTCGTGGGGTCTCGCGCCGAACGGTAAGCGAAGTGGATCGGACTGCGCCTGGAGGTCAGTGGGGTGACCAGAAACCTCATCATAGCAATATCTCCCAAGGCGCGAATCTGTGGGAACATGCCTATAAGCATCTCTAAATTTTTCCAACAGTTGCACTTTGCTCAATTGAAGGCAGCGTCCAGGCAGATTTGGACCTATAGGGATTGGAAAGTACTTTTGGGCCCTATAAGGCACTGCTCAAGCGGCAGTGCAGGTGGTGCTTTAACGGCTGAGGTATTCCCCTCGAAACTGGACCCCGCGATCGTATTCGAATGGATTCATGGCATCGCGCCAGGACACACGCTTTGCGCCATGAATCCATGCGAAATACGATCGCGGATTTACTTTCGAGGGGAATATCTCAGCCGTTAGAGCACTACCTGAGCTGCCGGTTGGGTAGTGGCGTTAGGGCCCCGAAATTACTATTCACGTGAGATCCCCATGTGTCCAAACTTGCCTGGACGCTACTCTGAAAACACATTTTAATTGAATTTTAGTTCAAATTACAAGAAGGATCAAACTATATCGCCACACGATTCCAAACAGCGCCACACTACTAGGGCTACAAAGACTTATCGCTTATTAACTCTCGATTTTATTAACTTACAAGTCCAAAGTGCCGCGTAGCGGCACTTTGGACTTGTAAGTCGATAATTAACAAAAAACAAAAACTCACAGCTCTCTTCCCTTACCCTCCACTTCCCTTTTCTTTCTCCCTAACCTCCACCTCGCCCTCCCCAAATCCCTCTGCGGTTGAGACAAACGAAGGCATAGAAAAGAAGAAAGGAAGAGAAAAACAGAAGAAAAAACAGAAAAGGTGAAGGACACGAGCGGACAGCGATAATGAAAAAAGATTCGCGAGTCGCTTTGCTTTCATTATCGCTGTGCGCTCGTGTCCTTCATTTTTGCCTCTGTTTTTCTTCTGTTTTTCTCTTTCTTTGTTCTTTTCTATCTCCGTTTGTCTAGCACTTAGACTAGCACTTTGCGATCGGAGCAGAGCCCAACAAAAATCCTGAAACCTACGAAATACTTAGAAGAAAAGTTTCTTTTCTATATTAGGTTGATTTGCAAAAGTTGCAAAATTTTGCAACTCTCTTCAAAACTTTACTCTCTTTGGATGTTGCGCACTCAAACTTGTTGATATGTAGGAAGTGGCGTTTTCTACAACTCTGCATAGACGATGTAAATTTTTGAAACAGATTAGAAAAATAAGCATTTTTCGAGAACTAATGAACTCCGAGAATTTTTAGGGTTTAGGTCAGAATGAAGCCGTGAGCAACCTAGATTATGCAAGATGACTTGTGTGGGAATTATTGTAAAAGGTTGTTTTAGTTAACTTAGTAGAAAGAAATGAAATTTTAAGTTAACTTGAGATTTGACGCCCTCACAAACTTGAACGAGCCGCAAAACTGCTAAGGACAACCGTCAAGGCCTAAAAACTCGAAGCCTCGAAATTCCCCGAGACTTTGCATATTGGGGTTATTTTACCTGACGACCACGAATGTGTCACATTTACTTTAACGCCTTTTTTCTCAATTAGGGTGAGACCTTAAACCGTAAATTTACAATAATCTATACAGGGTGTCCGCAAAGTATGTATACACTGTTTGTTTGTTGATATCTTTCTTCTCAACAAGTCTTTTGCCTTGGTTTAGGTACCGATTTGTAGAGCTGGCCAACTTAGATTTGCGGTATAGAACGAATCGCCCATTTCTCTTCATTACTGTAGGATTACGGTAGGAACCTCAAAGAGGGTTTTGAGCCATGAAAGGTCATAATTTTGCTTGAGAAAGGAAACAAAACAGCCAAGTTTTTATACTAGGCTAATTAGAGTTGTTGATTCTAACTGTAAAGTTCTCAACTTATTATGATGCTTCATTGAAGAGTTATGCCGAGTAAGAGGTAGCGGCCTTTTTTTCAATGTTCTTAAAAAAAGCGGTTACACCGTTTAGAAAGCTTCGCAACCTTGTAAATAGTTGAGTATTGAACTCAACGTCTATAAAAACCCTATTACACGAGTTTTCACACCTTTTTGAGAAATTCTGAAATGGCAGCTTTTTCCACATTGACACCATATGTTTCAAGTTCCAACCATAGTCCTACAATAATGAAGAGCGATTGGTGATTCGCTCCATACAAAAAATCTAAGTTGAAGCCAGCTCTACAAAACGGTTTGAAACAAGGCAAAAGACTTGTTGGGAAGAAAGATATTGACGATCAAATAGTGTGTACATACTTTGCGGACACCCTGCGTATTAATAAACTTAAAATTGTCAGTTGGAGGCTATGTGCGTTATAGAAACGAGCGCCACTCAACCAATTGGCTGAGATCTTTGCAAACACCTGTTTTCGACCTCTACGAAAATTATAGACTTTTTGCTACGGTTCGTCGGGTCATCGATTCATTAATTTGTTTACGTTTTTCTAAGGAGTTGAAGATCTATCATGTTTGACAAGCATTTTCCCATAGTCATGTAAAGGCTCATCTCCACCTCAGGATTCACGAGGATGCTGTGAATCGGAGTGGATGCCGCAAGGCAAATCATCCATAACATGGGAGAGGAACGGTGAGGGGTTGGGCAGTGCTGTAATCTTGCTGGTAACTGTAGCATCTACCTCATCTCCTGTAAACAATAGCCGGGGCTGGATTAGAGAAGCAACTAGTCTTAAAAACCGCTACCAGGCAATTTCAGTATTGTTTTCATGATCAATGTGTCGAATACCCCCTACGCCAAGTTTCTGCCGAATCGTAAAACTTTATTTTTCCCCTTGTACCATATACCAACAGCAACCCCCACTTCGACGGCAGAATTTGGCAGGAAAGTAGCAGATTTTGTAGCTTACGTCATAATCCACAAAATGCCGAAATTTGAGTGTTCCACGTTGAAAAAGAAAAAAGTTATCAAAGTAGTTGCAAAACTTAGTGTCTATTCTAATATAATTTTGTGCTGAAAATACAACTTATGTGAGAGATATGAAAAATAGGCTTGCAAAGGGTCGGTTTCAGCTCAGCTGGCACCCAGCTTCTAATTAAGTGCAAGACTTTTTTTTTTACGGCACAGTTTCGAAAATCCGCGGATTGTTAGCATGCCGCCAATATTCCATTGGTATGCTAAAAACAACGGTATAAAAAGTTGGAACGCTTTTGGCGTGCCCCCTTCTGCAGGCTAGCAAACAATGACATGCTACCCCGCAGGTTTAATGTGTGAAGTGTATGCTCGAGTTGAGCGAGGAAATTCGAGAAAATTTTAGGATGTAGATACAAAACTACTATCAGGTTTACCTTCATATTTTAAGTTAAAATCGATTCAGATAGACACCTAACAGCCATTCCGTAGAGCTTTCCTTTCTCCTGTCGAACGTTAACCCAAATCACAGTTTATGCAAGTTAGAGATGGAAGGGAGATAAAAAGAATTACGGGACATTCTATACAAGCCTAATTTTCCTCTTATTTTACCGTAGTAAATCCTCTGTAATGTTTAGGTTTATAGTACACAACTTGCGTGGAGAGAGCGCAACTTCGGGTTTTAAAACGCTTAAAAAGTTTGGTCTTCTCGACTTCTGGGGGAAAAATTACAGTAACAGCGCAGATGAGTAGTGGATTGTATGTGATGACTGTGAGCGAGAACGAGATCCGTGGAGTTTTTGTAGACGAAATGTAGTTTTTCTCAATTAATTGGACATTCAAAACTTCGCATAGTTTAGCTTTAGAATTCAGGTGATCAAAGCTGATGCGAACTTTTACCACAGTTATGCTTGCTTTGCCCTATCGAATGCCCTGAAGCTTTACCAAAAATAAGAAGTGCACGATTTATTGCGCTAAAAACAAACTACAACAAGATTTATGTACTAGGCTGAAACTACTCCTTGCAAATCGAAAGAGACTTTGTGTTCAAATTTTTGGACCCAAACTGCCAAGGCTCTTCCACATAAGTGCCCCGCAATCCAGAAGTGAAAAAATTCAGAAAAGGTTGCAGAACTTTCAAATTACAGCAACAAGAGCTGAGCTAAAAAGAGCTTATATATAGTTGTTCCTTAACTAATTTGAATTTGACAGAAAAGTTCGCGTGATGAGGACAATTTGCTTTGGTTGCAAAGATGATCTCCAATGCTTCATTAAAAATTTGTACACTGCTCTCAAAGAAGTTTACGCAGGATTGGATGATAAGTATGAGTCTCACAAGATAACGCTAAGCCATTTCTCACCACAGAGTTGGTAAGTTAGTTTGCCAACTACGTTAGTAACCGACAATTTTTTATAGGAATTGTCTCTTTTACGACCATTTTGATGACTATATCATGCTCCACCAAGGCGAAAATGCAGAATCCATTGCGGCCTATGCGTCTGAACTTGACAAAGTTTTCAAAAGCGTTGATGTTCCCAGTGATAGAAGAAAAGAGATCTGTTCGCAATTACTCGGTAAGCGAATGTTTGCAATAAATAACTTGGCTGTAGAATAATATCTCATATATTCGCACATCCACTTACACTCTTTGAATACTCTGAACGCATACATGTGTGCGACTCCTTCTTTTAGTAAATGACGTTGACGAAAGTTCAAACATCTAATTTTGTTCATTGTTATCACTTTTTGCCTGTTTTTTTCCATCATTTGACCTCCAAAAGGGCCCTAACCCTTGGACAGCAACTTTCCATAAGTAATCAGTTGTGTATAAATTCTGCCCAACGTTCAGAAATTTTTTGATTTTTTCAAAGAAGTTGCTTTTAAATAATCAGAAAATTAAATATTTGCTGTTCAAAACCCTACTAGTTCGCAACTTAAAGGTCAATAGGTGCCCTGAGAGGGGATAAGCATAAGAATGTTTGATAAAAGCTTATGCTATACGTCATACTGCTCTATAACGGAACCCAAAAACTGTCGCGGATTCGCTGCTTTCTTCAAAGAAGACCGCCGCCGCGCTGCGAAGGGTTTCGAAACGCTGTCCTCGCGCTGCTCCCGCCTTCCCACCACTACTGCCGTCGTCATTTTCGTCACCTAGTAAGCGGTGGGTCCCAATTTTTTCTTCACTCGTGTCAATCGACGCAGCGCCGTCCCCAACTCACGCGTCATTCACATTCAACACGCCACGGAGGACAGGTAACCCCGCAGACGAGATAACCCCGTGAGCGCTCGCGCCTGTCGCACGTCGGCGACACCGCCACGGAGGAGGGGGGGGGGGAGATTTCCGATATCGTCGGCCCCTAGGATAAGATCTGGTTGGTTGTGGCCAACTTTATGCTTGAGTTAAGGGATTTGTTGTAAATAATGGTGGGCATTTTACATGTGTGATTTGTACTGATGCCGTGACCCACAGCTCGGCTGTAACTCCGGGGATATCTATTGTCATCAGTGTTCGTGTGTATTTTATAGACACGCCTGGTGGGATAGATCTGTTAGAAGACTGGCACGATCCATGGTAATGTCTCGGTTATAAGTACCATGCCCCAACTGTTGATAGTTGGGAGTATAAGTCGAGTCGCAGGTGTCGAGTAACTGCCAAGTAGGCTGATGGCAAGGGCCTGTATGTGTGCATGGCATGTCATGTGGCAGGCGGAATTCGCATTCTTACAGGCAACGCCACCACAATGTACGCTTCATCTTATCCCGGATGGGACCCCTGGCTCTCCTCGCCGATGCAGGAGAGCCACGATACCACTGACGTAGAGAGCTGGGAGCCCAGTCCGCGACAGAAACCTATCTAAGATTTAAGAGAAGCTAATAGAATTTTTAGCTAAAGGGATGAATTTACTATCAAATATAGGTTCCATATTGGCTATTGTACATCAAGATACTCTCAAAAGTATAGAGATGTCCGGAAATCAATGGAAGTTCCTTACGCAATCGCGGCAGTATAAATATGAAAATGTGAAAAACATATCACTCGATAGAGCAGAGCACGCTCTGCAACAATATTTCACAACGACTGTAAAAAGCTTAAATCACATGCAGTTTCTAAACGAAATCCAAAAAAGTTTCGATGCCCAAATATCAAATTTCTGTCCAAAATAATCCTGCGAACTTCCAACTTGCCTACATCAAACATACATATGTACAGTTGCTGTATTTTTTCCACGGTTAAAAGTTGAAAACAATGAAAGTTGTTTTGTTCCAGAAAATCAGTGCTGGGCTATTCTGACATAGTTTTCATGCAAGCCATCACAAGTACAACTATAGATTTTCAGCTTTTTGCAAGCGTTAGTTTGCAAGATATTGAATTTAGCTTCAATTTTCAATTCCCAGCCATTGTAAAAAAGTTCGCAGGTGTAGTTTCCGATTTCTGATGTAGGGAACACATGCGTGACCAAGTTAAAGGTCCGTAGGATCTTTTTGGACGAAAATTTGACTTTTTGATCATTTGAATTTTTGGATTGCGCCATCAAACTGCAAGCCGATAGGACTTTTTACAATGGTTCTAACATAATCTTGCAAAGATTGCTTTGCTCTAGCGAAAAGTATGTTCACCACACTTTTATTCTACACTGCTGCGATCGCCTAAGATTGCAATGATTTCCGGTTACTAGCTGATACGACCGTAGATTGTTAGCCTCCTCCATATTCTATTTTTCAAATAATATCAAATTTAATTTTCCTTATACAAATTCTTATGCCAAATATGGACAAATCCGATGTCTCTCAAAAACTAGCTTTCATAAAACGTCGAAGGCTCATTGTTATACTTTCAGAGACTTGTTAAATCAATGTTTGGGAACGACTCAGCATTATACTTGGGTAAATTCGAAAATTTTTATCGAACGAATGAATATCGAAAAAATTCGAGAACGAAAATTTTCGAATAAACGAATATCGAATGATTTCGAAAATAAAAAATCTCGAATGAACGAATATCGATTAAGTTCGATCAAAAATTCTCCAATGAATGAATCTCGTATTAAATCGGAAAATCAAAATCATCGAATGAATGAATATCGATTATATGCGAACATCGGGAGTCGAATTTCGAATAAATATTCGAATGGTTTATCGAATTATTAGAGCAACCATATCTAGAACTTGCTGACATATTCTTCTTAAGCCGATCCAATCATAATCAGCAGCCTCATACTTCGTATATCAATTTCTAGCTTAAGACTTTCCAGAATCGGTGAAATCGATAAAACAGATTCTACTAATCATCACCCTCATTTACCCCTTGTACCAACTCCCAGCCTCGTAGCTCAAGATTTTCCAAAAAATCGATAAAATTGACAAAATAAAGTTTAATAATTAACACCCTCTACCTCCTGTACTAAATCCCACCCCGTAGCTAGCATCTTGTAACTGGCAAATCGCGTACGACTGTCGCCTGAAGTATGTGCGGAGCCTGTCATAATCAAAACTCGCATTTCTCAGTGTGGACCTTTTTCGCCCGGGTTTAGGCTTACCATAGTTGATAGGCTGATAGCTTCCGGTGTTAAAGTGCCTGCAAGCCTCCGTGATAATTGGATGCATGTGATAAAAGAACTACAGAACTATTATGTACTATCTATTTAACAAAACTTTATCGCAAGGTGATATGACTGCAAAATTCAACAGCCGTCTAATTCCCCACTACAGCTGCGATGTCCTTTACTCACAACAATTCGCAAAAAATCTCTAAGGTAAAGATTAGAAGCAGTTAAGAATAATGGAAAATGTGCAGTATAATATGAGTTTTATGGCAAGAGTGGTCACTAGTCTGAGCTTTCGCGTATCAAATCATGAGCAATGCAAAGAAGGAGAAACAGGCCAACACTTTTTAAAGGCAGCGTCCAGGCAGATCTAGAGCTGTGGGGATCCTGCTTGCAAAGTAATTTTGGGGCCTTAAGTAAGGCACTGCCAAAGCGGCAGCGCAGGTAGTGCTCCAACGATTGAGATATTCCCCTCGATACTGAACCCCGCAATCGTATTCGCATGGATTCATGGCATTTTCGCGCCAGGATCCACGCTCTCATGAATCCATGCAAATTACGATCGCGGGGTCCAGTCTCTAGGGGAATACCTCAGCCGTTAGAGCAGTACCTGAGCTGCCGGTTTGGCAATGGCTTAGTTAGGGCCCTAAAATTGCTATCCATGTGAGATCCCCATGTGTCCAGACTTGCCTGGATGCTACCTTATGTTGAACTCGGAACATGAGCTTGAATTTGGTCACTGCTTTTTGCTGATCTCATTGATCGAAAAAGCATTGATTGAAATCCATGATTTTTTTTATCGTGCGAGCAGATGGAGGAATGCGACCTTCTTATAGTTCAAGGGTCATGACGGTTGCAAAAAAATGCGTTACTAAGTCTTGCGAAAAAAAAACGCAGACGAAGCGAGTTTGATACTCAGCAGTCGGCTCTGCAGCAAAGTCGAATAATCTGAGTACAGAATTCATTCGAATACGAATTCGAATGAACATTCGAATAAAACATTAGAATAAAATCTATTCGAAACCCGTTTTTTGATTATTCGAATTTCGAATCTTAATCGAATCCTCGTTTTTTGATCATTCGAATTTTCGAATTTTAATTGAAATCCTGTTCTTTGATTATTCGAGTTTCAAATTTCATTCGAAACCCCGTTTTCTCAATTCTTCGAGTTTGGGATATTATTCGAAAAATAGAAATACTCCGAATATCCTCGATTGCGAATATATTCGAATGTATTATTCGAATGATCGATTTTCTATTCGATTCGAACTCAAGTATACTCAGCATTGCTTTTGCAAAAGCAGCAAAATTTTATATTTTTCATATCTGAAAGAGGGGAAAATAAGTTTACAGTACATAAGAATGTACTGCGTAGAAGTTATTCACTCAAGCAAAGTATTGCTTTCGCAAGTTTTAAAAGGAAGTTTGTCACCGTTCGCGTAATAATAGATGGTGGCAGAGTTTGAACACAGTCTTGTAGAGCTTGCTTTGCTTTTTCGCTATTTTTCGTCCTCTGTGATTCATGAGTGTTCGCGGTGTAGACAGCATATATTGTTCAATTTCAATTCAAAAAAACTCCCATTTTGGTGTTTCGAAGAAGCGCTGGAGCTTGCTGCGTAAAACAAAGCTATTGCTGCGTCTTAATAGCTTCAAATAATCGAATTCATCCTCTAACTTCGATTAAACCTAAGCATATCAAAGTTATCAGAGACCTGATCCAAAGAAATTCGCGACGCCAAATTTTTGAAATTTTTATGATTACTAGCAAGTGGTCCAAGGGTCCATCATAGGTCCTATCAACACTAATGACTATTGAAAGGACCTATAATGAGTACTATAGGTCCAATTGTTATTGCAACTTTCAGATTTTTTATGACACTAAACAAAAAAGTTGAAATTCGAGTGATTTTCTCTGCTTCTTTTTATGCAGTGCATGCTCAATGAGAAGCCAATAAGACACCATATTGAGGTTTTGTTCTTTCTAACAAAAATCAAAACAAGCAAATTGGTTGGAAAATGAGAAGTTATACTTTTGAAAATGGTGCGAACAAACTTTTGTGCCAACCTAATA